AGGAGAGGAGGAGAAATGAGGTAAACACCCCTCAACCTGGAGTCGATGTTTTTCACCCTAAATCTTGTAGAATGTACAGATAGGGCCGTAACGTGGTTTTATATACTGTATGAGTTGACGTAAACGATGGAGGCGGGGTCATAGTTCCCCATCCACTAGTCGAAGTGGGTCTTCGTCAAAGGTTAAACAAGTTTTGAAGAATTTTTTGTACCAGATCCCATGTTTCGCATTCCGAATTGGATGAAAGGGTTTGAAAAACCGACAGTTGAAGATTGAGACACTTATGCACATATGGAAACTTTATTGGGGAAACTTCCCCACACAGTGGCTTCATCAGTCCAATACAAAGGGGAAAGGCGTAAGGAGAGGGGGAGAAAAGGAAAACAGTCCCTAAACCCGGGGTCGATGTGTTTTCCTCAATCTCGTAGAATGTACACATAGGGCCGTAGACGGGGCTTTATACTGAAAGTGAGGTGCGGGGAAGCAGATGGAGGGGGGGCATAGGGTCCCACCCCACTAGTCGAAGTAGGTCTTGCCAAAGGGTTTGAAAAAGTGTTGAAGAATTTTTGTCCCAAGATCCCATGAGCGCAGTGTCCGACAGTTGTGTTAAGGGTTTTGAAAAACCGACAATTTTGAAGATTGGACACTTATGCAGCATATGGAAATTTTTTATTCGGGAAAACGTTCCCCACACTGGTTCTCGCCAATACAAGAGGAAGGCGTAAGGAGGGGAGGAGAATGGGGGTAAACAGTCCCTCAACCGGGAGTCGATGTTTTCATCCATCAATCTTGTGAATGACAGCATAGGGCCGTAGACGGGTTTAAAATTACTGTAGTGAGTTGCGTGAAGCAATGGGGCGGGTCAAGTGGTCCCATCCACTAGTCGAAGTAGGTCTTCGCCCAAAAGGGTTGAACAATGTGAAGAATTCTTTGTCCCAAATCCCATGATGCTGCAGGCCCGACAGTTGTGATGAAGGTTTAAAAAACCGACAATTTAAAGATTGAGACACTAGACCCCCCCTCCATCGTTTTTCCGTCCCCTACTACGTATAAACCCACGTCAGGGCCCCTATGCTGTACATTCTACAAGATTGATGGATGAACCATCGACTCCGGGTTGAGGGACATTCCCTCATTCTCCTCCTCCCTTACCCCTTTCCTCTTTGTAGGGATATGAAGCCACTGTGTGGCGAAATTTTTCCCTGAATAAAGATTTCCATATGCGCATAAGGCCAAATCTTAAACTTGTGGTTTTTTTAAAACCATTCATACAACGTCGACATGCGCATCAGGGGATCTTGGTACAAAAAATTTCTTAAACACTTGTTCAACCTTTGACGAAACTACTTTGTAGTGGATGGGACCCCTATGACCCCCCCCCATCTGCTTCACGTCACCTCACTACAGTATATAAGCCACGTCTACGGCCCTATGCTGTACATTCTACAAGATTGATGGACTGAACACATCGACTCCAGGTTGAGGGACTGTTTACCTCATTCTCCTCCTCTCCTTACGCCTTCCTCTTTGTATTGGACTGATGAAGCCACTGTGTGGCGAAACGTTTCCTGAATAAAGATTTCCATATGCTGCATAAGTGTCTCAATCTTCAACTCACTCAGAGAGAAGGACCAAGGGGTGAACATAGCACCTAGCATTTCCCCAGAGGCTCATACCAACTGAATAACCTCTGCAGCCAAAGCTCGCCTGCCAAATTGAAGAATGGCCTTCAGGAATGGAAATATAAACACACATGCAGTATAATGTGATCCTTTACTGACAACGTTTCGCCCACACAGTGGGTTTTATCAAGTCGCAAACAGATCTACCTGGATGAAAGGTACGAGAGTATTTATAGTACCTTCCACCCAGGTAGATCTGTTTGTGACTTGAAAAAGCCCACTGTGTGGGCGAAACGTTGTCAATAAAGAATCACATTATACTGCATATGTGTTTATATTTCCATTGTGTCGGTATTTTATACCATTTATTTCCATCGCCTTCAGGAATCTCGACAAAGTTTGTTCCTGGAACTTACGCAACATATGTCAGTCTCATCTTGGAGTACGCAGCACCAGTGTGGAACCCCACAGCTGAGGAAGCCAGTTAAACTAGAGACAGTACATAAGTACGCAACAAGGCATATTCCTGAGTTAAGGAGCATGAGATATGAGGAGAGGCTAATGAAATTGAATCTAAAAATATTGGAGGACAGGAAAACCAGGGGAGAAATAACACAAAATACTTAGGAAAATTTATAGGGTAGACAGGGACAGGCTGTCTAAGAGGCAACAAACAAGAATTCGAGAAAACAGCTGGAAGCTAAAGACAAATATGCCACAAGAATGATAGGAGGTATTTCTACAGTCTCGAGGTTGTCAGGAAGTGGAATGATCTTGGTGAAGAAGTGGTGGAGGCAGACTCCATACATAGCTTAAAGAGCAAGTACTATAGAAGGTCCAGGAGACTAGGAGAGAGTGAATCTGGCAAGCGGCAAGTTGAGAGGCGAGACCGGGAGCTAAGACTCGACCCTTGCAGCCACATATGAGTATACACACACTACCCTTCCCTTCCCACCATTCCTTGGTATACCGCTTAACAGCCCTAATTACTTAAGAGGTGCAAGTTAATCTCTTGTTAATTAACACTTAGTACCTACTGCTTGGCGTCAAGCTTTCTCCTCACCGGCGATAACACTTATTCACTTTACTATCACTTTTTCTCACTCATTTAAGAGCAACTAAGATCAAATAAAATTAAATATTAATGGGGAATATTACACAAATAACCCGCACATAAAAGAGAGAAGCTTACGACGACGTTTCGGTCCGACTTGGACCAGTTACAAAGTCACACTAACCAGAAGTGGAGCAGGACGGCTATATATAGGCAGGAAGAGGTGGTGGTAGTAGTAATAGTAGTACAAGAATGGTATATAATACCGACAAGATGAAATTAAGACACATGCATAAGCTTCTCTCTTTTATGTGCAGAAACATAGATATTATTGCTATAACAGAGACCTGGCTCAATCTGAAAGATAGAGAGATGCCCTCTGAATGTCACATACAAGGCTATAAATTATTCCACACTGACAGGGTCAACAGGAAAGGTGGTGGAGTAACGATGTATGTCAGAGACAATTTAAATTGTTGTGTTAGACAAGATATTAAATTAGAAGCGTCAGCCACTGAATCTGTTTGGTTACAGCTTCTCGAGGGCCGAGAAAAACTAATTTTGGGTGTGATTTACAGGGCCCCAAATCTTGATAGGGAGTGCAGTAAACTTCTATGGGACGAAATTCGTAAGGCATCTACATACGAAAATGTTGTTTCTAATGGGAGATTTCAACTATAGACAGATTGACGGAGCAATTTGACAGGAAATTTAGAGTCAGGTGACTTTCTTGATACGATCCAGGATTGTTTTTTTAAAACAGTTTGTGACAGAGCCAACTAGGGGAAATAACCTCCTTGACTTGGTTCTTGCCAGTAGGAAACACTAATTAATAATCTTGAGGTTAATGATGAGCTTGGGAAAGTGATCACAAATCACTCAGTTTTAATAATCATGGAATTCCCCTAATAATGGCAATCAAGTCCTGTCCCTGAAATTCCCTTGGCTGATTTCATAGGACTGAAAATTACTTAGGGGGCTCTGAACTGGAATGACCTGACTAAGGGTTAGGTAGGTGGTGATGGTTGCCGATATGACGCTTTCCAGGGCCCTATTTTTAGCTGCCAGTCAAATTATGTTCCAAATAGGGAAATCAGATCAAACAAAAATGATCCTAAATGGATGAACAATAGATTAAAATATCTAATTGGTCAAAAGAGAGGATATATAGGCAATTCAAAAGAGGGGAGGGGAAATTAAAAAAATCAATTTTTCAGTTAAAGGAGAAAAAAAAAAAGGGAAATTAGAAAAGCAAAAAGAGATTAGGGTTGAAGTTGCAAGAGATTCGAAGACTAACCAAAAGGATTCTTTCAGGTATACAGAAGTAAGATCAGGGACAAGATAGGCCCACTCAAAAGTTCCTCGGGTCAGCTCACTGACAGTGATAAGGAAATGTGTAGAAGTTTTAACACATACTTCCTCTCAGTTTTTACACAGGAGGATACCAGCGATATTCCAGAAATGATAAATTATGTGGAACAGGACGATAATAAACTGTGCACGATTAGGGTCACAAGTGACATGGTCCTTAGGCAAATAGATAAATTAAAACCTAACAAATCCCCAGGCCCTGATGAACTGTATGCAAGGGTTCTAAAGGAATGCAAAGAGGAGCTTAGCAAACCTTGGCTAATCTTTCAAACATATCACTACAAACTGGCATTGTGCCAGATAAGTGGAAAATGGCAAATGTGATACCTATTTTCAAAGCAGGTGACAGGTCCTTACCTTCGAACTATAGACCAATAAGCCTAACCTCCATAGTGGGAAAATTTATGGAATCAATAATTGCCGAGGCAGTTCGTAGCCACTTG